AGGACAGATCAAGGGAAGAGACCCTGAAATTGAGTGTAGGGCCTCTGGGCAGGGAATTCTAGGGTATCATATATGTGGAGCCTGGACCAGAAGGGAGAGGACAGAACCAGGTCCTTTGGCCAGCCCATTGACCCCCTGATCCCTTGCTCTGAGAAGAGGGCACAGTCCGAAGTGGGCCAAAGTGGCTCTCTAAAGTACAGGGCATAGGACAAGGCCACTGTTGTCTAGTCTAAGAGCATACAGAAAGTGCACCCAGAGGTAGAGCCAATTTGATTTTCTATCAGAGGATGGTTTTCCAGCTTCCCAGACAAGCCACACTCTCTTCCCACTGTTTGCCATCTTCTTGGCCTGTGGGCTGTTACTCAAGAAGGTCATACGGACAGGGCTTTATCTGGAGACAGAAACCATAGGCTATAGGCTTGGCTGTATTTACACGGGGGATGTAAATTCAACAAACCAATCTCCACTGCACACACAAGGCTTTCTCAGCAATTTCCAACTTGTTTGCACCAACCCGAATGTAAGCCCCAGGTTCTCCATGCTGCAGGCAATTACCCAGCAGAAGCTGGGTTTGGCAGATGAGGTTTAGCGGGGTCAGACTGAAAGCATGAATGCTTCCATCACACTCTAAAAACTAGTTTCCATTGAATAGGATTTCAGGATATTCTCTTGCTTAAATGCAAAAAAAAAAAAAAAAAAAAAAAAATTACCCTTAAATATCCAAGTGCTAAGGGTAGCACCTAACTCAGTGTTGCTACTTAATAGCCACTGTCTTTCCCTTTCCTGAATGGGAGTTCTCAGGTTTACAAAATGCTTTCACCTGCAGGTACTCAATCTCTAGGTTCACCAGAGTCCTTCTTGCCTTTGAAATACAAACTGAGATTTCCTTGAATCTCTGGATTTTCATAGCTAGTAGAACCCCCAAAATCATCTCCCAAGATTTCAGTAACACACATGAGCAAATTTTCCAAGGTTCCTTTGCCTCTGGTCCCTGTGTTCCCATGTGGCATCTTATTAGGCCCAAGGCATGCAGACCTCAGTCCCTTCTAGAACCCATAGGAGATCCAGGCACAGCAATCATCTTTGTTGTATTTTGAGGGCCTTGCTGGAGATCTAAAAGTCACTTGAGGAGTGATCCTATTGGGCTTCACCCAGTGTTCTGCCATTTGTTCACCCTCACACCTCTCTTATTCTATCCGAGCCCCCAGTGGGTTTATTTTTCTCTTCCACTGGAATCTCAGCATAAGTGATGCTGAGGCCCCAAGAATGCAGCTTCTACCCCACACAAGCTTCCAAAGGCATTTCTCCAAGAAAGGCAATTCTCTCTAAGAGGAGTACCTACTGTTAGGCAAAGGAAATTTTCTCTCTCTTTACAGTTCATCTTATGCTCCTTAACAACCTTCTGAGACTAGTGTAATAATTTCCACTTTATAGATGAGGAGATGGAGGCTCAGCAATGACATGCCCTTGTCCAAGGTCACCCAGATAGTGAGTGCCAGAGTCTGGCTTCAAGCCACGATCTAATCAGCACCACTGTACTTGGGGCCCACTGTGACAGTCAGAGGATGGTTTTCAAGAGGATTGCTCAAGAGGGAACAAGTGGCTTTTCCTGTATCCCAACTTTCCCAGTCTGGAAGAGTCTCTTTGCTGTGTGGCAAGATCACAATATCCTTGTCTTCTTTAAAAAGATGCTCCTGTTTACTCCTTTAAGAGGAGCAGAAATGTGTGTATGTACATACCTCCAGAGGTGAGCGCCAGGGAGAATGGAGACCAGGGATCAAAAGGCCAGTGGTCAGCTTTGCACTAAATGTGTTTGCGTCACTGCACCACCCTCTCCCGCAGGTCCTAGGCTCCTGAGACCCAAGTCATTTTTGCCTTATACTATTTTGGCTTTCTCACAATATTCTCTTCAAATCTCCCCAGACTTCTGATGCAGGCGACCTGCCTCATGTTCATGTTCTTTCCCTGGTCTCAGTCTCCAGTGGCGTCAAGGTGCTGAGAAAACACAGGTTTTCGACTCTGGCAGACCTCAAATCTTATCTGTGCCTCTCACTCTGTGGCTTTAGGCCAATCATTTTGTCTCAAAGAGCTCTGGTTTCCTCTAGGACACAGCTAGTGATACCTTCCTCCCAGGTAGTGAGATTTCCAAAATAGAGAGTGCAAATGATAACTTACAGAGATTTTTACTTTGCACACTACATGTGGGGTCAGGCAGACAAGGTCAAAACCCCACTTTGTCACCTACTGGCCCTGCTACTCTGTACAAATTCCTGCACACTTCTGGACCTCTATTCATCTGTAATGTGGGGTGGGTCATCCTTCCTCCTCGGGTCATAAGATGGTTCAGAAGATAGAGCCCAGCACTTGTGGCTACGGCTCCATCAATGGTGTTTTGTTTTTATAGTTTTGTTTGTGGGTTAAGGCCATAATGAAGATCTCAAAAATTATATTTAACATGGGATGTGGTACATTTTAAGATATTCAATAAAATATGGTCTTAGCCTTGGGTTTAAATGGGTCTTAAGTGTTCCTCTTCTCCCTGCCTCAGGAGGGAGGTGAGTACCATGTGGGTGAATGTTGTATAGGGGCTTGGCATCAGTTTGGAGAGCAAACCCAGGGGACGAGTACTGAAGAGGCCTTGAACAGGGGCAGTGGCTCCCTGCCAGGAGAGTTCTGGCACCTGGACAAGTAGACAGGCCCCAGCTAGGCAAGGCTGGTGGGGATGCTTGGGGCTTCCCAGGCAAGCCGTTTCTTGCTCTCTCTGTGCCTGTACATCTGCTCTCATTGCAGTCTGTACAACTGCGAAGTGTTTAGCCAGCAGCCACAACCCCACCCAATCATAATCCCCAACTACGGGGACCACACTTTACCTTCCGTTCCACAGTAGGCCCTCAGCAACAGCTTGTTCAATGTCACATTCTCAGAGTCACCCATTTGATTTTGGGATGCTGGCTCTGCTTTGCACAAAGGACCTGTGAGCATGAGTAATTGGGCTGTAAGAGTGACCATGAATTCCTCAGTTGATCAGGGACCAGGGCTGCCCACTCTCCTCAACACCCTCACTCCTGCAGCCACGTAGGCAGCTCTGTGCTGGCTCACCAGGTTCCCTGACATTCCTGTGAACTATGTTCCTTGGTAAGACTCTGACACAAGTTACAGGATATTTTCCCCATAGGGACAGATCAATTAGACTCTGACACAAGTTACAGGACATTTTCCCCATAGGGACAGATCAACTAGCACCAATAGCACCTCCTCTTTCTTATTGCTGCATTGGTGCAGAGGTAGCCTTATCCCTAAATGCTCTGAGGGGATTGGAGCAATGATGGAACCCTGCTCCATCATTTTGCATAAGGGTGCTCCCAGCACTGCCACTCACAAGGCATTCAAGGTAGACACAGCATACGGAACACTATTATTATTACTATTACATATATATTATTACTATTACTGCAAAATGAACAACACACCCCAGTTATCATACGTAGAGTGCTTATTAAGTTTGAATTCTAACTGCTTTACAAACATCTCATCAAATTTTCCCTTCCCCCTGCAATGAGTTAGGTACTATTATTATCATCGTTTTACAAATGAAATAAAAAGTGGACCCAAAGAGGGTATATAACTGGGCAAAGTCCTTTAGGTATGGGGAGAGGTACTGATTTAATCTCTAGCCTGTGCCTAACTCCTCCCAGATAAGAAAGTCTGACGCAAGAATTTCTGGGGGTATCTATCACATGAGAAGTCATGTTTCTACCGTAACAAATGCCTGAGCCAGGAGCCAGGCATGGTGGATGATGCCTGCAGTCCCATCACTTTGGGAAGCCAAGGCAGGATGATCAATTGAGCCCAGGAGTTTGAGACCAGTCTAGGCAACATAGAGAGACCCTATATCTGAAAAGATAAAAAAATTAGCCAAGCATGCTGTAGGCCCACCTATTGTGAAGCTGAGGCTAGAGGATCATGATTGCTTGAGCCTAAGAGTTTGAGGCTGGGATAAGCTCTGATCATGCCACTGCACGCCAGCCTAGGAGACAGAGTCAGACTCCCATCTCAAAGAAACAAAACAAGCCACCCCAAAAAACAAATGCCTAAACCTCAACATAAAATGAGCTTTACATGTGAGAGTTTTTGAAAAACATCTTGTTTGTTATAACCTATTTTATATAAGAAAAAAATCTAATGTGCGTAAAGTATAAACAGAATATTTGTAATAAAATTAGACATGGACAATGTTATGGATGGTGATCTGAAACCAAGATCAATAGTAAGTGTGGAGTGGGAGACAGCACTAGGGTGAGAAGGCATGCTCAGATTTGCTTTTACAATGATGTTCCCAGAGGGGCCACTTAGGAAGAAAGTAGAGAGGAGACAAAGACGGGTGGAAGACTGTTGTAGGAGGTTAGGAAATGATGAACTGTGTTGTCAAGGAAAGGAGAGGAAATCCCAAAGCAGAGTTAATGGGTCACGATGACTGCATTGGTAAACTGGGTGTTGCGGGTTGAGGCTGTGACTCAGTTTCCAGCTTGTGCATCTGGATGTTGTTGGCTGAAGAGGAGAGGCTGACCTCCAAGGGAACAGGCTGTGGCCGAATTCAGTATAAGGAGGCAGGTCAGCCCTCAGCAGCTGTCTAAATAAGCATGTCCCAGAAGCGGAGAGTGTACTGTTTGTGGTACCAAGAAGGCTTTCAGTGGCATTCTGATGCACCCTTAAGAATTTAACAATTTCACATTTATTTTTGTGGTTAACATTTATTGATGACATTTTCCTTTTATATATTTATACTTTCTATTAGCTGCATGTATTTAAATAAGACAAGGGAGATTGATTTAAAGAAAAAAGTTCTCTATATTGCATGTGTCAAAAATCATGATGACAGTGATTGAATGGTGGAGATATGTTTAGAAAACATATCTGTGTTCCCTGTTTTAGCAGAACATGTACCCCAGCTTCCCGATGGTCTCTTCAGAGCCCTTGTTTCTTGCCTGCATGTCTTGCAGATCCGGTGCATGGCCCACAGAATGTGGAAATCGTAGACATCCGAGCCCGGCAGCTGACCCTGCAGTGGGAGCCCTTCGGCTATGCGGTGACCCGCTGCCATAGCTACAACCTCACCGTGCAGTACCAGTACGTGTTCAACCAGCAGCAGTATGAGGCCGAGGAGGTCATCCAGACCTCCTCCCACTACACCCTGCGAGGCCTGCGCCCCTTCATGACCATCCGGCTGCGACTCCTGCTGTCTAACCCCGAGGGCCGAATGGAGAGCGAGGAGCTGGTGGTGCAGACTGAGGAAGACGGTGAGCAAGGGAGGAAAGCTTACATGGGAATGGGGATATTGAATCTGTTCACAAGGCTGTGGCAGTCAGTTATGAGGCTTTTATTTTTCCTACATTTTTAATTCCCTCACACATACTTTTCTTTTCCAAGGTCTTCAGTGAAGGACTATGTAAACGGCATTGCACACCTCTAGGGCGTGCTTTTCCCATCACAGTGACAGCTCTGCCATAGACATGCACTCAGCTTTGGCCCTTTTGTACCCCCATCCCTCTTCTTGCTTTATACCAGTGTATTAGACCATTCTTACATTGCTATAAAGAAACACCTGCGGCCAGGTGCGGTGGCTCATGCGTGTAATCCCAGCACTTTGGGAGGCCGGAGCGGGTGGATTGCCTGAGCTCAGGAGTTTGAGACCAGCCTGGGTAACATGGTGAAATCCCGTCTCTACTAAAATACAAAACAATTAGCCAGGCATGGCAGCATGTGCCTGTAATCCCAGCTACGCAGGAGGCTGAGGCCGGAGAATTGCTTGAACCCAGGAGGCAGAGGTTGCAGTGAGCCGAGATTGCACCACTGCACTCCAGCCTGAGCAACAGAGTGAGATTCTTTCTCTACAAGAAAAACAAACAAACAAATAAACAAACCAAAAAACCACCTGAGACTGGGTAATTTATAACGAAAGGAGGTTTAATTGGCTCACAGTTCTGCAGGCTGTTCAGAAAGCATAGCACTGACATAGCTTGGCTTCTGGGGAGGCTGAGGAGCGTTTACTCATGGTGGAAGGCGAAGTAGGAGCAGGCACACCACGTGGCCAAAGCAGGCGCAAGAGAGAGATTGGTGGTACGGTGCCACACACTCAACCAGATCTCTGGGGAATTCACTCACTGGCATGAAGACAGCACCAACCCATGAGGGATCCACTTCCATGATCCAGTCACACCTCCAGCATTGAAGATTACATTCAACGTGAGATTTGGGAGGGCACAGATACCCAAACTATATCAACCACCTTCTCTGTCCAAGGTTTGACTGCACTGGTGCCTCCAGAAAGAGAAAACATGTATCACGTTGTTTAAACATGTTGAATTTGGAAGTCAGACAATGCTGAATTATGTCAGAATTAAAAACAGAAAATACATATCAAAAGCTTAGCATACACATTGGATGCACCCAGGACTGAATATTCACCTGGCTGGATGACAGTCATCTCAAACTCAAGGTATCTGAAAATGAATTTATCTCCAATTCGATACTGACTTTCCCTGTGTTCCTCAACTCAATGAACTGCACCTAGTAACTCAAGATAGAGACCTGAAAGTCAGCCTGGGAGCCTCCATGTTTCCCTCCCCAACCCACCCCACCTCCATACCCCACAAGTTTCTAATGGGTGTGCTTCCTGCAGTTAATCTTCCTCATAACTTGAGACTCCAAGAACCCAGAGCCACTACTGCTAAAACACAGAACTTTTCCTGCCTCTCTGTCCTTACCCATGCCATTTCTCTTGCTTGGAATGACCTCTCCTCCATGTTTGCAAGGAAACCTCTATTGACCTTTCAAGTCTGCTCAGATGTTACTTCCTCCAGGAAGCTTTCCTTGATTGCCGCAGATTGACTTGGATGTTTCTTCCCAGGTTCACTGCAGTTACCTTAGTGATAGCATAGAATTCGCCAGTTCCAGGACTTACCTAAGAAACACTTTCCCATGACCATATTTCAGTTTCCCCTCCAGCCAGCCCAGGCTGCCCCTTGCCTTGTGGGATGGCTTTAGATAGTTCCTGAGAATCAGACTCAGATGAAGATTCATGTGCAAGTGACTGATTAAGAAAGTTTTCCCAGGGCAGACTGGGGGGCAGTGAGGGAAGTGGGATAAGGAAGGGGAGAAAGTCAAGGTGCAACTTTTGGCCAAGTCCAGCAAAAACTGGCTGCAACCTGAGCCTTCAGGGAACTGTTCAGGGTGGGCCATGCATCACAGGTGTCCTAAGTTAGGCAAGGAAGCTGTCAGCCAACAGTTAGGGTCTGGGATGGGGAGGAGAGATTCAGAGGTAAAATTTCAGTAACTTGTCTTTCTGCACATGCAGGTAAAGAATAGAGGCTCACAAAAATGGTATACAGAGATCTGAAAGGTCTAGCCAGAGCACTGGCATTGTCAGTTGCATAAAGAAAATACCCAACTTGACTCAGATTAGCCTTAAAACTTGAAGACAGCACCTCTACTGTGGCAATTCTGTTTAGTACTTGTTTTCTTTTTTTTCATTTACTTTTTTTTCTTTCTTTGTGTGTTCCTGGGATCCAGTAGGATCTAGTACTCTTGCTTCATGTAAGCAAGTTCTAAATACCTCAGAGTTATGACCCTGAGTAGAACCCAGATTCACATTCTCAGCTGCAAAATCTCATGAGAAGATAAAGGAAATAGTGCCAGCCTCTTCTTACCTTGCCCCTAATTCTCACTTCCACCATGTCCCATCCTAGAGCTGGAAGTTTTACACAGTCTACTTTCATGATCCATCCCTCCAGTTCATCCTCATAGCCATCCTCTTTGCAGACCCCACACACTGGACTTTGGGGTCATCCTTGGAGTAGACTGTGTAAAACTTCAAGTTCTAGGAAGATTTCCCTAGACCTGACTTCATTGTTTCAGAAATGTGTAGCCCCTTCCTCCTGCATGTAGAATTGTTCACTGTTAGACAATGTACACTCTGGAGCCAAGCATGCCTGGACAAGTTGTGTAACCTCTTAGTGACTTGGTTTCCTCATCTATAAAATGGAATTAGTTGGCCAGGCATGGTGGTTCACCCTGTAATCCCAGCACTTTGGGAGGCTGAGGCAGGCAGATCACAAGGTCAGGAGATCGAGACCATCCTGGCTGACACGGTGAAACCCCATCTCTACTAAAAATACAAAAAATTAGCTGGACATGATGGCACGTACCTGTAGTCCCAGCTACTCAGGAGGCTGAGGCAGGAGAGTCGCTTGAACCCGGGAGGTGGAGGTTACAGTGAGCTGAGATCGCGCCACTATACTCCAGCCTGGGTGACAGAGCGAGACTCCGTCTCAAACAGAAAAGGAATAAAGTACCTATCTTAGAGATTCTCATGCACATTAAGTGGGATGATATATAAAGAAATTGGACTAACACCCAGCATTTTATAAGGTACTACATTTTTGGTGAACCACAGGGAAAAAAAAAAAAGGAATTCTTCACAAAGGAGCATCTAGCCCCGGCAACTGAGAAACTGCCCAACTCCCCTAGGAAACCTCTTCAGAGCTCTAGACACGTCCAGACATCTAGAAATCTAACTGGTTGTAGGAAATACACTGTAGACACTCAAAAAGTGGCAGTGTGCTTGGTGCCTGATATGAGAAACAGAGTCAGGGCAAAAGGGTGGTTCAGTGACTGATATTCACAGGGAATTCCTGGTTGTTTGAGAGGGAGAAGTCACTGCTGAAAATCAGCATGAAAATTCAGGACTCAGGAGATGAACAATAAGGTTTTCCCCAAGGAGTGACTCAGGGCACCTTTTTAAAGATGCTCTGCCCACCTTGAGCTGCTCTTTGAGGATTACCTCCCTGTGCCTCAGCAAACCCCAAGTCCAGCTTTAAGATGTTCCTTAACTTGTCTCTTTCTTCTTCCTGTCACCAAGAAAAAAACGCCTTTATCAAAACAACATGAGAGCAGGAATGCTTTGAAATTAAATTTTAATTAAACATCATTAATAAAACATCAATTCCTGTTCTATGGAGATGTGTGGACATTATCATACTAAAAACACCAACATGCGAGACACGATTCCTCAGTTCTGAAACTATGCTGAGGCTCTGCCTCAAAACCCACTGGACTGAAGGAAGGTCTCAGTGTAGAACCCCGCTGTATGCCAGGGTTAGGTTCCATTCTCCCTAAAGAGGGAGGAGGCACCATTTCTGTTGACTGGGTAACTCATTCACCTCAAGGACAAGATGAGGCTATAGCATGGCTCCAGTAGATTAACTGAACCCCCCCTCCACGAGCCAGCAAGCAACCTTTAGGATTGAGTTGGCTGAATGGCTGAATTCATGCTGCTGTCATCCGTGCCACAAAATTGTCTTCTGAGGAATTTGTAGAATTTGTAATTTCAGCACCTCAGTGCATTTGAGGGACTGCGAAGAAATCCAGCACTAGAGAGAGGCTCATGGCTGCTGAGCCCCATGGCTTCATTTGGGTAGCAGGTGTTCATAAGAGACTAAATAGATTCTTTATTTTTCCCTTTTCCACAAATGTCTCAGACAAAACCACAGTTCGCTTGCACCTCGAAAGATGAAAACCATGTTGATGGTTTTGCTTGGCAGCTCACTTTGGCTGCTATTTATTGAGCACCTACATTGGGCTAAGCATGGATAGACATGTTATATACAACGACTCCTGTGCTCCTTTTGCCCAAGATTTTATTGTGAAATTTTTCAAGGCTAGAAAAATTGAAAGAATAGTACAAAGGAGACTTATAAACTTCTCATCTAGATTCAACATTTGTAAACACTTTGCTGCATTTACTAGTGTGTGTATCTTACATCTACATGATAGATGATGTATGCTATGTAAATGTATTTATGAATACATACAATATGTTAACCATTTGAAAGTAAATTGCAGAAATCATGACAGTTGATTTCTAAACCCTTTAGCATACATGACCTAAAAATAAGAACTTTCTGCTACATACCCACAATGCTATTTAACCTCCAATAAATTTTGCATTGATTTTAAAATCATGTAATATACAGTTTGTTTACATTTTTAATAATATTTAGCCTGATTCTGTGGACAAAACCAGGGTTCAGGATATTTTTGGCAAAACCATTACATTGATGATATATATTTCTCATTGTATTTTGTCAAGAAGTTCATAATGTCAGGGAGCCCCAGTACTGATGATGCCACATATGGTCACTTAGATAAGACAAGAACGACCCAGTCCCTCCACTGTACATGTAGCACCTTTTTTCTTTTGTAAAGTATCCTTGAAGTGAAACTTTGAGTTGGAATGAGT